AGACACTCCTGTTATCTTCCCAAGTTTCTTGTCTCATATTTTTTTGCCTCCACCTCTCCCACTCAGCACAGCAAGGACAAAACTTTCAAAGCAAGCTCTGTGTGCATTACCCTGTAAGCAAATAGCACCACCTGAATCTACTATCCCTTACCCTTTTCTGAATTAACCTCTTGTAATCATACAGCAAATTGTACAACAACAGAGGGAACAGGTGATTCTTCATAAAATATTTACTGGTATGTTCAGATCCTTCATACAAAAGTCTGCCTGCTCTAAATAAAATTAAATGCTCTTTGAGAGACAGAGTCCAAAGAAAGGCTTCTGCTTAAGTTAATGTAAACAACTAATTGTCAAATGCAGGTAGAACTACTTGACAACTCTAAAAAACTACAAGCTGTATTTATCTAAAAACTTGAACATTAATTCTTCTAGAACACCATCTGCAAAGACAACCCTTACTAGAAGGAGGCAACAACCATAAAAAACCTGACATTTTGCAGCAAAAGCACTTTAACAAAAAAAAAAAAAAAAAAAAAAAGAAAAAAGATAAGATTGCAGGCTCTTCCCCTTTCACATTTCCAGCTTTAATCAAGGGAAAGTTTTAATTTCAGCTGGAAAATACATTTGTCTATATGTATGTTATACAAACATATAAATCAGTGCTGAATCATAATTACAGCTTCATTGACCCCAAGTTTAGTATTTATGCTTTTGATTTTAAAGTTAAACACCACTTCACATGAAAAAGTGCTAGAAGCAGTAAGATTTATCTTTTAAAAATCTTGGTAGTAAAGGCAACGCAAAAGTAATGAAATTCCATCATTAGAAGCCAAGAGAAGAGTGAGGAGGAAGTACTTCATTAAAGAGAACATAGTTTTTTACACAAGAAAAAATAGTGCATTTAAACAGTCAGCTTTAAACATCAGCTTTAAGCTTAATAATGGTTAAGAAAATTTAAGCTTTTTTTTACTATTATTTTTGGCAGCACTGCACCGAACACTACAAAAATGACAAGGGGAAAGACAGCAATACGTGCATTTCTAACTCAATTTTATGCTGCCAACATTTTAATAGGCTCCCTTCCCATACTCTCCCCTCAGCTATTGATTAAGCCTCTGTGCTGCGGAGAATTAGCAAATAAGAAGTCAGAATTGATTTTTTCTTGTTTTCATAACAAGAGGAAAAAGGAGAAAACAACTCTTCCCAATTCATCTGCACTGGCTTGTGCTGGAAATGGCAATGCTTTACTTCTCATCACATGGATAGCTTGCACCTGAAGGATTCTGCAACAGAAATCACTGTAGCAATTAGCACTATTCATCTCACTGTCAGAAGCAGTGTTGACTACTAGTAATAAATTACTTCTTTTGCAAGCTTGGGCTTTTCTGTGCTCCCCTTATACCTAGACTGCAACAAATGTTTTACCAAATTAGATCTGGTATCCAGCCAGTGTAAAAAGCAAAAGAGAAGCATGAAGTTTGTTTCTTTCAACTGAAAGAAGGAGAGCCATCAGGAAAGTCTGCATCTTCAGCAGAAGAATTAATGCAAAAAGGAAAATCTGCCAAAAGGGAAACTGTGGCAGATGTGGAGAACCACAGAAGCAGGACAGGTCACATCCATACACAGAGAGGAAAACCACTTTGCACAGGTCAAAATTTTTCCAATAGCTTTTTAAAAAGAAAAGCGAAGTTGAAAAATCCTGTATTTGGTTTAAACGAATGACTAATTGTTCAGATGCTACAAGCACTGCTTTTTTCCTGTAGCACTTGTCTGCTAACCCACAGAATATCCAACAAACCAATCTCTAAACCACAGGAACTGAGGCATGGGCACATTGAGGTTATTAAGCAAACACCTGGATCACAAAAATGTTCATGAAACGTTGAATAATCCACATCCACATTTACCTGAGGTATAATGAATCTCAGTACAGACGTAGTGGTAGAAATGGGGCTGCTTCCTCTCCTACACCACGCAGCAAATGGCCCACCTGTGAAGTCGTAATCACTGGCCACCAGTTTGCTTTAATGCAACATCAAGCTTGTGGTGGGTGAAATAAAACAATCAATTCGAAACTGAATGCAAATTGTAACTTCCCAGCCGAAGTTTATTTTAAATAAACACTTTAGTTTTTTTTAAATAGCCCACTGGGAGTCTCCTTTCGCTGAAGACAGGAAGTTTGACTTTCCTTTTCACAGAACATATAAATGGTCTAACTTCAAAATTGTTTGAATTTCATTTTTGCTAAATTGAGTGAAAGATGAGTATTCCTTCCGGCCTAGACAGCACAGGGAGTGATCTAGCTCCCATGAATTTTAATCAAGATTATGTCTGGAATAAAGCAAACTTGATAGGGAAAAGTAAAAAAAAAAAAAAAAAAAAAAACAAACCAAACAAAAAAAAAATCAAACAAAAAAACCCCCCAAGCAAAAACCAAACAACAGTAACAGAAGGAAAAAACCTAACAACAAAAGCAAAAGCGGTGTTGCATTTTTGCAACCTCACTAACAAATGTTTACAACACTAGTGTGTTTGAAAATACTGGTTTACACACAAAATAGATAAAATGCACAGCTGCGTTGACCTGGGTTTTTCATGAGACCTTAACTTCATCTTTAGGGTGCATAGGTGGGGCAGTATTTGAAGTAGAGACTCGGAATTTGGCCAATGTAATTGTTTGCAAGTACATGAATACTGTTAATACTGTAAGAGATTAGCTACCATTCCTTTCACAGCTACTACACAGGTCCAAGGAACTACGTGCAAGCAATGCAGTTCACAAACACAAGCAATGCCATGGTGGTCTGCACTGCTGTGTCTTTTCTTCAAGCTACATATGTTACAGAAAAGGTAGGCTTCAAGTACATAAATTTTAAAAAGTAAAATATACTGTCACAATCTGTAAAATCAAATTCATGTACTAGAAGTGCCATTGTAAGGACTGTAGAGAGCTAAAAAAGTAGGTTTAGGAAATTTTATAATGAGATGTCTAAAATATTTTAATATTCTGTTTTTTCTCAGCTCCCAGAAGTGTAAGACAAACACGTCCTGAAGAAGAAGGATCTCAATGAGGGCACTTTCTCTATCACCTAATAGCATTAAGCACCTGTTTCTAGACATTTTTTTTAAATCTGCAAATGATGTCTTATTTAATATTGGTCATCTTGCACCCCAGAGAACAGCAATTTTTTGGAAGGAATTCTTTGTAAATAAAAGATTAATTTCTTTTCCTGACAGCAGACTAAAGATTTGAACTCTGGAATAGACCCACAAGGCAAATAAGCTCCTGTGGTTTAACTGAGATACTTCTGTATATAAATCACACACACAACAGTGAATGTAAGATGTTGTACATGCGTTATATCTCTAGGCAATATTATTACTTCAGTGGAGATAAACATATAAAAATGCAGTATTTAAATTCATACATTCACTATTTGCCCTATCTTTTGATATGCCCCTTTGCAAAAATGGCAACTATGGAAATGTTATCAAATGAACGTAACAAAGGAGAACATGGATAAATAATTCACTCGAACAGCTCTGAAGAATTCCCAACTATCATGCTGTACAATTCCTTCAGGATTATTGAAGCTCACAGTTGTGTCAATTTGAAAGTTGAAGTATGGGAAAGTTCTTGATAAACTAGTTTTACAAAAGCACATCAGGAGTTAATGCATCACTTGCATCATGCAAAACCGCTGTGTTCTTCACCATCCTCACAGCTCTTCATTAACTCTTCAGAAATTTGAGCTTCTTAGATACTTCAGGAAAAGTTAGATGAACCATATGAGAATCAAACTACTACAAATCATCACTTCACCAAGTACCTTTGCTTCACAGATTTCAAAAAGGCAACAGAGATTGAGTACTGTTCTTGTATTGCAGGAACAAACTGTGAAAACCCCATGCATAACCCAAAAATTATGAACCCTGCTCTTTTCTTTTAAAGGTTAAAAAAATGGTGCAAATATTTGTCAGTGAGCACTATATACAACACCATTTATTAATAAACTTCTATTTCAATTTGTGCATCAATATGATAGAAAAGTAAATAGCTTTACAAAATAAGTGAAATCACCCCATACAGCTGTTTCATTTTTCTCATTTTAACACCTTTACGTGGTAGTATCTCAGAAAAATCCAGATGTACCAAACCAGCTCAAGACTTTGAGAAATTTTAATGCTATTTTTAATTACGCAAATAATAAGGCTTAAAACTCAAAAGCAGCATGGCAGCTAAGTGGGGCCAGAAAACTGCTGAGAAACTATACACATTTTCTTTATCTTTTTGGAGACACATACAGGAGAAAGGTAAAAATGAATTGTATTCTGCTACAGTAAAACTGACAGTCTTTACCTAGTGGGAAAGAGCATACACTGTTCCTTTTTCATCACTCAAATGACTCCTAAGAGGAGAAAAGCCAGATACTGAATTTGCCTGGAGAGGCATCTGAAGAGCTGTATAAAGTGGAGATCGAGAATGATTCCTTAAGCACTCTGCTCTTGGAAAGCCTGGCTGCAATTGCCATCTGTGCACATCCAGCAATCAGGAAAATTTCTCTTTGAGAAGCATCACTCCAAAAACTTTGATACACAAGAATTCTGACCAGTAAGAGCAGTAAGTAATAGGAAGATTAAAGTTACCCTTTGGCATGAATTCTTAGTTAACAAGTAAGCTTTAAGGAAATTGTTTATACATGAGAAATGAAAGGTTTTAGAAAAAGAATCAGGACATGTTTGCCACTTAGATGAAGTTACTAGATGACTTCAAGATAGGCTCTAATGCTGTAACAAAGTCGAGAGGTTTAATGGTTACATTAAAAGATCAACTGTTTCACGATTTTGATTTGATGAAACACAAAACGATGTCATTAAAACACAATTTGAAGGAGAATAAATCCTGTGCCACAAGCTTCCAATCCTAGATGGCATGTTTGGTAAAACATCATAGTTCTTCTTAAAAAAACAAAGCCAGAAGACCACATGCTAGAAGTTACCTTACTTGATCTTTTCCAACTCTTCCTCATTAGCATTGTCTGAAAATAAAATAGAGCATTTTAATTACCTTTTCTCTGCAATACAGAAAAGGAGGCCCACTGTCTCCGGACAATCCACATTTAACCAACACTGCAACTGAAGCAGCAACACGTACACTCCAGCGACAACTACATGAGACTGAAATAAATCCAGACAACTAGCAGCACTGTTCACACCCAGGCATACTTTTCTGGGTGGTTATGAATGTCTAATCTCCAGAGACAATGCATTATGTGAAATTGGAAAGAGAAGGAAGGAAGGAAGGAAGGAAGGAAGGAAGGAAGGAAGGAAGGAAGGAAGGAAGGAAGGAAGGAAGGAAGGAAGGAAGGAAGGAAGGGAGGAAGGGAGGAAGAATTAGATAAGCAAATGAAAACAAATTAATGTGCCATTACGATAGTGACTTCAATTTTGACTGATACTTGAATGATAGTTTTTTTAATATTAATGTACTCCAATTTTTCAGGCCACTACTGTTTAGCTCACAGGTGTAGTCACATTAGAGAAACCCTGCACAAGGCTCCTTGGACAATATGCATCTGTTACAAAATCCTTAAGGTTACCACTGCTAATTAGTTTAACAGCAGTAAAAATAGCTCTTTTGTTTGATAATTATCCACATGGGATAGAAAAAAATTCATACCTTGACTCTTTAAAAAACACAAAATGCAGTAGCCCTATCCCATTATGTAAATAATCTGTAAAACCTTGGCACTGCTCGAGACAATAATCTGGCATGCCAGGAGGCAAAGTGTCCACAGATAAAGATTCTTAATCATTAAATAAATGAGACATACTGGTCAAGACGGATGTGGACAATTTATCTGTGAACACAACTGTTGCTTAAAGCAGTTCTGTGGAAACACAGGAATTAATTTGTATAATTTAATAACATTTAGCAGCCTGTTGTTGACACTGAGCAAGAATAAATCAAAGGCCATTAATTTCTATTGAAACTTTCTTTATGTTATGAAAAACAAACCTTTTTTATCTACTAATGCAAAACCACTTTCTTTTTCAGATAATGACAATAAATTTTGAAACACAAACATTTTCCTTGTTAAGAAATAAAAGTATTACATGGGGCAAAAATGGAAATGGGAGCAAATATGTGGGTTTGATATTTTTGAACTATCCAGAAACTTTTCAAATAGACAGTTTTTTGGGAGAAGAAAAACAACTAGCTGCTGAGGAAAATTTTTAAGTTGCTATGGTCAGTTAAAGCCTAAAGCCTCTGTGGTAAGTTAATGATAATTGTAGCACTATGGCTTTGGAAAATATAGACACTAAATGTTTTATAAAGCTGGAGAAAGCCATTTAACTCATTTCTGTAGGAGAGGTATGTAAGAATTAAGCGGCTTGAGGCTTGCAGCAGACCCTGGAGAAGACCTCTGAGTTCCTGCAACATACCACAGCTCCTCCCTGCCTTGTTGTTGCTGAATCCTCCACAGCTGCAAGCCAGAGCACAAACTCAGCTTCACTGGGCTTCAGACAAGGCTTTGAGCAAGGAGGAGAATACAGCCTGACAGCTGAATGAACTACGGATCAAATATTTTTTCAACTCTGAGGAGTTCAGTTTCAGTAGTAGCTACAGAAACATTATGACCGTACTTGTTGAGTGCATCAGCATAATCACCAGCTGTAGCAGGATAAACTGAAGCCATCATAACCAACCTTAGAAGCCAGCAAAATAAATATATAGCATAGGGCAGATTAAGATGGATGATCTACATGGAACTATTTCATCTGAAAATATTGCATGCCCTGAGTCCATCTCTGTCATTCTTTTTTTCCTAAGCTGTTATTATCCCTCGGGGGGGGGGGGGGGGGAGGAAGCATAAGATTTAAGACACCAAGCAAATTGACAGCCTATTCATGTTGTTAATATCTTCATATGAAGCAAAAAAGTATTAAGCATCACTTGGGATAAATTATTTAAGGAAAGAACAATGCCGTGAATTTTATTCTCATTAAATAACAACATCCAAGTAGCACTCGTATGTTTCCTTTTTTCAATTCTCTATGCTGCTCAGGCTGTTGGCAGTGGTGGAACAGTAGTCCCCAGTCTCTGCTGGCCCCAAGGCAACAGTTCTCATCAAGCTACCAACTTTCTAATTTCCTGTAGCTGAGAGTTGCCCATAAGACCAAGGTTGGAAACAACTGTTGTAGAGAAGACATGCGAGACATGCAGCTCTGGCGAACTCACAGTCACTCTGCAAGTTCTCCAGTGATGAAATCTGTGCACTGAACTCTGCTAGAGAAAAAGCCAGAAAAACTTACATGCAGTGCGGCACTGATGATTACAACACCAAACACAGAATCTGCAGACATCGCGTACACATTTTTAATGTGTAATTGGCATGCATGCAACTGCAAATGGCACAGCGGCATGCACAGCACTACATGTATCCAAGGGGAAATATTAATAGAATACTGTCTGAATTAAAGAAACAAAACAAACATCACTGGAGGAGGTCTAAGAAAAAAATCAAGTCATTGCTAGTTCTGACTTCTTTTAAACTGGTCATCAAAATGAGAAATTAATGAAAAATACAGAAAGTACATCATAAAACATTATTTTTCGGAAGAAGAGTTAAAAATAATAAAATTTTTTTAGACCTCACAGGTTTTAACATTTTTATATATACATACATTTTCCATACTCTTTCATTTCAAGTCTTCTTTGTTTATAATAGTTATCTAAGCTATCTGTCCTCTCAAAACAAAATAATTAAAAATGCTGCATTAATCCAAAGGACAAGTATTGTTAACAGCACAGAGCAAATGCAAATGAATTATTGGAACTAGTGCTAATGCAACTTAATTGCATTAGGCTGTAAAAAGATTATACTTTTCACAAATACTAAAGACATTCTTATTTTTACAGTTGCATAAGAATAATTAATTCATCAATTTTGATTCACAATTTATGATCATTCAAAAATCAGAACAAATCAGATTACCATCATTTACCAAAACCCAACAGAACAGGACTTCTAGTCATATACATAGTTTGAATGAGGTATTACAAGATTATTGCTTTGAAAGTTCACATTTTTATGCCTTTAGAACAAGCGCTAGGTCACAAAAGGCAAGGATACTTACTACAAGATTTGCTAGAAATTTTGATTTGATCATGTGCCCACACTCATATATTAACATTCAATAACTGCAGGTTACTTCTGCATTCTCTTCCAAGAAAATGTACTACAAAAATCAAACAGTGTGTTCTTATTTATGAAAAGAGTATACTGAATCTCCTTTAATTGAAACCATGTCGGATATTCTTCTACTGGAAACACACAAACTGTAAATGACTTAAGCACTGTTTTTCACAATCTGACAGGACTTAAAGATAAATACTGCCCTCTCCTAGTCTGTAAAATAATTTCACATACAGTTAGGTGAACATATGAATATGTTAATATTCTTAATTGATATCTGAATCCAAAGATGTAATCTGTTTTGATCTTAGGAAATGGGACCTTCCAGCTATAAATTCTAAAGAACATGCTATCAGTCAGCACACTGAAAATTTGCATTTCATCAGAAATTCTTTCAGAAAGATAAGGAAGAGGATACTCCTGTGTGCACAAAATCTCTCATCTCTTTGCCCACCTCAAGGCTTCACAAAAGATAGTTCCACCACAACCAAAATAAACTATTACTCTTTCAAACTGATTGCTTATTTTTTAAATAATCTGTAATAATACCTCTCTCTCAAACAGGCAGCAATATACAACAAGGCCCCCAGTTTTGTACCATTTAACTTCAGACTTCCAACTGGCGTATCTTATCCTCCAGCAGTGTCAATATTTATTATACAGTGTGACAGGATGCATCTTCCTGTAATGTACAGCTACACTATTTTGATATACCAATAAAATGCTTTGCTACAAGACCTGTCCTCTAGCTACACAAATGCATTATGAAAAGACTTTCCCTTTATCCGTACTTCAGTGCGCAACATCCAAAACACTCTCAGTCACTCCAGTTCAGGCAGCAAAGGTATCTCCTTGGAACATCTAATCTGCATCAAAAACTTACCAAATGACACATCACAAACAGCAAGTCTTGTTCAACAGGGCTGGGTCTGGAGCATGACTGCAGAGCTGCCCAAAATACAGGATCAGACACAATGCTACTTCTATGGCTACATGGGAAAGCTAATACTTCTTTCGTTGAAGCTATTCCTTTTTCTATGTCCCCAATAAACACTCTCATTTTAAGTATATGGAGTTAAAGTACCTGAAATTTAAATACTAGCTGTTAATTTCTGAATTCTTCAGCTTGATGATTTAACCATTTTATACCATTTACATGTGACAACATGTGCAAGGAATTTAGAGCCATCACCTGAACAAATTAAAACTTATTCAGAAGAAAATATAGTTTGGAAATGTAAGCCACATAGGGATATCAAACCAACAGGATTTAAGAAAATTTGCAATGACTTAGGAAAAAACCACATGCAATGTGAAAAGACAGTGTTTCTATGTCTTCTATGCAGCAGTCGTTAAAGCTATTTAAAGATGCTCACAATTTTTTATCTATATATTTCAACTATACTATTTGAATTATTAACTACATAGAGATATCCAAGTAGAAGGGAAGCACTAATCATTCAAATAGGACAGTACACAGGCTGGAAATATAGGAGTTGCTTTAATTACTACTTTATATGGTGCATAGTTCCAGATTGGACAAGAATTAGCCTTGATCCTCTAACATAACATGTGAAAATTTATTGATCTCAACCATATTAAATTCAATAAAAATTATCCTCATTATTACAAGACCTTCTAAAAATAACCAAGGAAGACAGTTTAATTGGAGTGATACATTTTGTAACATATCTACTCCTTAGAGAGTAAACAAAATCTGATAAATAAATAAATAATTACATGTTGTAACAGAATAAAAGATAATTGCACCTTGAATTATTAAACACCTAACAGGTTCATATACAGCAATTCAATATTAATTTTGTAGGTCAACTTCCCTGCACTGTGACACAAATGCTCTGATTTTACTGCCGCTTTGGTAGAGCTGCTCTGAGATCCATATCTTGGGAAGACTGGTTTCTAATAATAAATATAAAGCTTCAGATTAGGAATCAGAATCTTAATCTGAATCTTCGGCATTTTCGGAATGAAGTCCCATATAACAGTTTGAATGGGAAGAAAAATTGGCTACTTGAGCTAAACCGAAAGGATTAGATTACTAAATAGAAAGCTAATAATGAAATGTGTAATAGCCCAAAAACAATTCCTCCTCCTATTACAACCAGTCAGCTGGATATGAAAAAAGTTGCTACAGCTACAGCAAGTCTATGGCGCTTTTAACTTTTAACGTTCAGTTGCGAATTCACCGAGTAAATAGACATATGAAAGACACGTTACACCATAGTGTCTTAATTTCACTTTCTCACCTGTGAGCTGCTGCAGCGCTCTTTGTGTAATAGCTGATAACACTGAGCAGCACAGTAGCTATCCTATCTTTATAATGAAAAAAGGAAACTAATGTGCTGTCCACATAATGGTTTCCCACATAACAATACAGTATTTCTGTCCTGCAAGATTTAGGATTATGACAGGATAATGCCAAAGCCACTTGGAAAAACAGCGCTATTACCAGCTGACTCAGAAATGCTGGTCTTACCCAAATACACACAAAAAACCCCCCAGGAATGAAATACATTTTTCAATTTAAGTGATAAACACTTTTGTGGTGCAAATTTGCAAGATAATATTCCAAGTTGTGTGGACAAACATATTGCTAAAAGAAAGAAAAATACACTTTATTTAAACTTCCTGCACGTTACTATCATTTTCCATTATTTTTGTTCAGTTCTAACAGAACGCCATGAAGAAAACTAACAGTTGAGAAATGTCTCTGACATACCAAACACCTACTTCCAATAACTGACATACTAGGCTGTTTAATAACTAGGAGGAAAGTGGAAAAAGATCAATATTACAAGCTGCCAATATTCCTCAGGTATGCAACAGTATGATGTGTCACACTGCAGCATACAGAAACACATATGCTCTTACAAAAAACATATAGTTGACCATATCCATGGAAATTTTCATCAGATTAATACTTTTTTCTTGGCCTCCCTGAAACCAAAGGAATCCACCTAAACGATTCTATGATTCCATGATTCTATGATTATTTTACAACTTCTGAGCAAGATGTCATCTCTTATTTCTAGCATAGTTGTAGTATTACTGCTCAAGTCAAATGTCAACAGACAAAAAGCTCATAAAATACATCCAACTAGAGACAGAATTTGTCACAAATAACAGGATCTATAAAACTGGAAACTATTTTCATTTACAACTAAGCAGCTCAGAAAACTAAGATTGACAAAGTAATTACAATAAACCTAGAAAACCACGCAATTTTGTAATTGAAATCTGGGCATGAAATTGAAAAATATCAAATAATATTTCATCACTAGATGCCAAAAAGCAAAAATACTACCTTTCTTCAAGTTTCTTTATTTTCAGTGTGGAAAAGGATTCAAATGTTCTTATCTAGAGATGGCAGCACTAGGTCCAAAATTCTTCACCAGTGGTTTACTGATATTTTTCCACATTAATCAGCACCATTCACCTGCAACTGACTTCATCTGAAACTGCTGAACATTTATGTTCCACCTGGATCCCTCAGTACTATCTAAGGGACGATCCAATTCAGATGACATATGCTGTTGTTCAGCGTTATTTAAGAACTGGAAAAATCAAATTAATCTCAGAACATGTGGTTTAGTCTTGTGCTTTAAGTCATCCAACCATAGAACAATCGCAAGAGTGATGACACATATTAAAATATTTAAAATTACCACTTCTCGTTGTTCTTCTCTAGGAGCCAACAGAACTGATAACAATATACTTCCCAGATCATGGTCAGGGTAATGAGGATCCTTCAGATTCAAGGTAACATCTGTTTGCCTAGGAGACAAAAATTTATGCATTTATTTTGATTTCAGGCTCTCAGATAATGAAATTTCTAAATCATGAGAATTAAAGGCATCTGCAGTTATATGAAACTACTTGAAAATGGTGTCACAAATTTACGCTATTTCTACTTTTATGTATTGCAGTCTAAACACTCATAAATACATACTGAATACTGTTACTCCATGTTATGTACTTATATGCACTGAAGTAATCAAATCTGAACTGTAACACTAGTGGATTAAAAAACAGAAGAAAGAAGTTGAACTGTAGGTGGTAAAGCTGTGAATGAAGATAATATAAAACAAGATTAAAGTGGTTATAAAACTAACCTCTCCATAGACACTGTAAAAAATGTTGTGCATGATCAGTTAATATATTATTAACATTGATATTACAGCAATTCCCTAAACATAAGTGTTTTCCCTTGGTTAGTTTTATGTGGTGTAGTTCATACAATTATCTACCAGCATAATGTTCCGTTTGCAATTCCACAAACATAGTATTAGCAAACAACCACAAAGAATGACTCCATAGGCTTGTTTGTGCCATACCTGTTTAATTCCAATGAGGTGAGATCCAAAAATGCCGAACCAATAAAGTCATCTTGAAGTCCAAAGTCATAGTCAAAGACCTAAGATACACAGGAGATAAATGCATTTTTCAGTATTGGAATGTATTTTTCAGTATTGGAAATGTTTTGTTTGATAACTTCTTGCTTTATGAATGGTTCTTGAAACTCCTTTTCCAGAGTTAAGCTATACATTTCTCCCATGTCAAACCAGGACTTTCAGAGAATAACATGCAACTTTCTGGCCACAAAATCAAGTTTGAAACTGCTTATGTAAAACTCAGAATGCATCGTGTACAGGCATGGGATATACTACTACTAGAGCGCGTATGTGAACAACATCAACTTTATAAAAACAAAAGGAGGCGTTTTTATAAACATAGGCACTAAAAGAAGGAACACCAAAAGAATAACTAAAGTTAAGCAGAATCATTGATTTGCTATACATTAATCGATACCTTTATCAGTTTCGCAAAATACAGGCAGGAGGGTGGGATATGATTGTGAAAAATGCATTATTACAGCACTTGCATTAGTATTAGGAACGATAAAACTGTAGGTTTTGAAGGTTGTGTAAGTTTCTAGGGTTTAGAAATACTATAATGTAAGATGAAAACTTAATGGATGTGTGTAAGGAAAGAGT